CAAGGTCTTTGCCCACATTTCCTGTATTACTGAGTTTTATTTTTCAGTGCTACAGAAGTGGGTGGTTGTACAGGGTCTTTTAGAAGCACAGTTGGGACATCCTAGCACATCTGCAAGCCCTAGCTAGTTAAAACCTCGCCGCCATGCTAATATTGTGAGCCATGTTTTTGTCTGCCTCCTTCGGGATGGGTCCCCAGATGTGTGTAATCTGTCCCTGTGTGTACGACTGTCCAGCGCGGCTCTGAGTCCTTCCCTTTCATTTGACTCTTCATTATTGCAACCAAATGAAATGGACACCATATAAAGCCTCCTCACAGACCACTGCAGAGAGACATTTGGCCTAAGGAAAAATATTTTTGGAAACATAGCTAAGGGGATTTCGACACTGTAATGGGAAAACAGTGTGCATCTTGTACTGTGCTCATCTTAACACAGACGCCCAGGATAGAAAACTCTTCCGGGTTAACGGTGACGGGTGGAGAAGGACTCATCAGTACGAGCTCATGCTACTCTTGGAGAGCCCCTCAGTTCAGCTCCCAACACCCATGTCTGGCAACTCCAGCTCCAGGGGATCTGACACCTCCAGTCTCCACAAACACCTATATCAAGTGCACATACTCACACACAGACACGTAACTGAAAATAGTCAAAGTAAATATTTAAAAAGTGATGACTAAGCTTTCAAAAGTGATTTATAATCAGTTGGTGATAAAATGACCTCCTTCCTCCTGGCTCTCCCTTTTGTGAAGTACCAGGACCTGGTACTTCAACTTGATTTGTGCTTCAGCTGAGAATATTCCCTGACTTCGAACTTCTGATCCTCTGCTTCCACTTCCAGGTGCTGGAGTTAGAGGCGTGCGCCACCACACCATGGTGCTGAAGATCGAACCCAGGACTTTGGGCATGCTAGGTAAGCACTCTACCAGTTGAACTACATTCCCAGCCCTAGCTTGACATTGTCTTTTAGAGATTTACTTCTGTGTGTGTGTGTGTGTGTGTGTGTGTGTGTGTGTGTGTGTGTGCGCATGCCATGTGTGTTTGTGTGTGAGTGCATGCCTTGAGTGCCTGAGTGCCCCTGGAGACTAGAAAAGGGAGTCAGATCCCCCAGGAGCTGCTGTTACAGGCAGCTGTGAGCCACTCCATGTGTGTGCTGGGAATTGAACCCGGGTCCTCTGGAAGAGCAGCAAGCGCTCCTAATTGCTGAGCCATCCTCTCCAGCCCTGCCTGACAGTTTTGATCCAACTCTAGAAAGACAAGTTCGGTGGAGACTTGCAACCACAGCTGTGATGCCGCGTGACCAGTTCAGTTTGGAGGCTGAAGTGCTGAAAACACTTCCTGTGGAAGCGGTGGTCATGCAGATCGGCTGCCCCAGGCCAGCCATGAAAAGTGTTTGCTCTGAAGTTTGTGGTGTGTGGGACTCAAGTTTGGCTGGGCATGGTGGCACATCCCCACAACCCCAACACTCAGGAGGATCAGAAGTTGAAGGCCAGCCTGGGCTACATATCAAGTATGAGGAGAATCTGAGTTTTCTGAAACCCTAATCACCATGAATCAAATGGTGGGGATTTTTATGGGCGGGATTTTCACCTCAGTTCTTGGTTTAAAAATCAGTACCATTAGGAAGATGTTCAAGTTTTAATTGCTTTTGCCACTGGGCCCATGGGAGGGAGTTAGAAGCCATCATTTCAGCGGCTGTGTTCCAAGCCATAGAGACTGGCCTGAAGCTCTAGGCAGGTCAGGGATGAGCTGAGGACAAGGGCAGAGAGTCAGGAGCTAGCGCATGCCCTTCTGCCTGGGCCTTCGTCCATCCGGAGTTCCTCCTCTCCCTCTCCCTTCTGTTCTCTGGGTGTGGGAAAGGCAGATTCAGAGGATGGGTACAGGGTATCAGGCTGATGAAAGGGAACAGAGTGGGGGTTTCCCCTGCACCAATGCCTCTGGGATGATCACAGATTGGGCCAAAGTGACAAGTCTGCTTGGTGGAGATGGGAGGGAAGGGGCTTTCTGGAAACATCTGGCTAGACATATGTCAGCCTGGGAACTACCCGTTTCCTCCCCCTGGGAGTTCTGGGATACACCTGGATGCTAGGGCTGGCATCTCCTAATGCTCTAGCATCCCGCTACCTCTGAGCTTCACCTGCTGAGTTCCTGTAAAGTGATTACCAGAGCCCTCTCATTTCCCTGTGGTTGCTTCTGCTCTAAGAACTGAGAGCAAAAACCAGATGTTGTGGTCCAGCACTTGAAAACCAGAGGCAGGCAAATTAGAAGTGTGGGTCATCCTGTGCTACGCAGTGAGTTTGAGAGTAGCCTGAGCTAGGAGTCTCTGTGAGAATGGACAGCTTAATGAGAAAACTAAGTAACCAATCACATCCATGAAATTCCCTAGTCAATTCTGCTGGGAACCTAGGTCAGGCCCGTGATGAAAAAAAAAATCTGATTTTTCTGAGAAACTGTTTTTGAAAACATCTGCATTTAGGGGCTGGAGAGAGATGGGCTCCGCAGGTAAAAACATCTGCATTTAGGGGCTGGAGAGATGAGCTCCGCAGGTAAAAGCTGCTCTTACAGAAGTCATGTTCCCAGCGCTCACATGAAGGCTGTAATTCCAGGTCTAGGGTCTCTAACACGCTCTTCTGACCTCTGCAGGTACCGTGCATGCGTGTGCACAGGCACACGTGCAAGCAAAACACTCATACAAGTAAAACACATCTGAAAAGCATTTAAATGTCTGCATTTGACCGTTAGCTGTCACTTGAAATGTATCTGTCAATAAGTGGACATAAATGTGTTAAATCTGAGCAGGGATGTAGGGTGTAATTAAATTCCTAGTGAACCAGACGTGATGGGCAAGTCTCATCGTAGATTTGGCTGCTTTATTTATTTGGGTAAGAAGCTGACTTTATTTACCAATAACCTAAGGAAAAACCTATTTGTTATGGGGAAAAATGGTGGCTTAGAAAATCACCTTTTGAGCTCATCTTAATATTTCTATGTCATCAATGTTATTCTTCCTTTTTGTTTATTTTAATTGAATTAGTGAGCAACCCCAGGGAGCAGCTTAGCTCCTCCTCCCCAGCACTGGGGTTAATAGTGTGCACCACCATGCCCAGCTCCTGTGCTGGGCTCTCATAAAAATAACAGCCAGCCTTGATGTGAGAATTTGTGCCTAGTCATATTGTATCTTGTTATGCCATGTGCGGTTGATATCCCTGGAAGGCCTGCTCTTTTCTGAATTGGAAGTGGAGGAGGAATGGATCGAGGGGAGAGGGGACATGTGTGGAGGGGAACTGAGAGCAGCGGAGGGAGAGGAAACTGCAATTGGGGTGTAGTGTATGAGAGAAGAATAACAAATCATGAATAACCGGGGTGCAGGTGCAGCTCAGTGGTAGAGTCCTGGCTGAGCATGCTCAAGGCCCTCAGTTCCATCCCTGGCACTGAAAAAGAAGCATGGATAACAAGCAGGCATTTTGTCTGTGTGTGTGTGTATGTACATGTGTGTATGTATGTATATGTGTGTATGTGTGTGAGTGCATATGTTTGTGTGTATGTATATGTGTGTATGTGTGTTTGTATGTGTGTGTGTTTGCATGTGTGTCTGTGTATATGTATGTATTGTGTTTTCATGTATGTATGTATATGTGTGTTTGTGGGTCTGTATATGTGTATGTGTGAGTGTGTGTTTGTGTGTATGTATATGTATGTATTGTGTTTGCATGTGTGTCTGTGTATGTGTGTTTGTGGGTGTGTATATGTGTGCATGTGTGTAGGTCCGAGGTTGACCTCAGGTATCTTCCTCAATCACTCTTTACCTTCCTTTTTGAGACAGTGTCTCACCCTGAACACAAAGCTTGCCAGTTTGACTCTCTTGGCTAGCCAGTGAGTTCCTGGCTCTGGCTCTCTGGTACTGGGGTCACAGGCACACATTGCCGTGTCTGACTTTCATGCAGGTGCTGGATATTGAACTCAGATCCTCATCTGATAACCTAAGCACTTTACTCATTGACCGATGTCCTCAGCCTCCCCTAATGGCATTTTAAAAGATTTGTGTGTGTGTGCATGTGTATGTGCTGTTGTTATTGCATGTGGATACAGATGTACATGTACATGTGTGTGCATATAGTTGATGTTGAAGTTTTTCTTCAATCAATCTCTACACTGTTCATTGAAAAAGAGTCTCTTGATTGATTCCAGAGCTCACCCATGTGACTAGTGTTGGCTAGTCAGCTTGCTCCGGGAGTCCTGTCTCTCCCTTCTGAGTGCTGGAATCACAGGTGGGCTGCCACACCATCCCACATTTATGCGGGTTCTGGGGTCCTGAATTCTAGTCCTCATCTTATGCAGTGAGCACTTTAACCACTGAGCCATCTCCCAGCCCCCAGAGGGAATATTGAGTACTAGTCTTTGCCAATACCATTCCCATGACACGTACTAACCACTCTGCTCACCTACACACCGTACACTTTGTATTTCTTTTAAAAATACTAAATTCAATGACAGTATTGATAGCCCATGAATTATAAAAGTGTTTGAATAAAGAAGATGGCTCTTGTATCCAGGCCATATCAAAGGCCATAGATCTTAAGCCCTTTACAACAGAAACAGTAACAGTGAACAGGCCAGGGTGACTTCTCCATCCTATCTTCTGCTAGGCTGAGAGTGCAAAGGTTCTGCATAGGATGATGTGGGCATGTCCAGAGACATCAGCAGTTTGGGATCCCGGTGCAATCTTTGCTTTCCATGCTGGCACGATTCTGTCCCAACCACAGGCTTTGGCCCTATGCAACCTACAAAATATTCTTCCCCAATTCCAGTTTCGAATATTAAATTAAAACAGATGTGCAAAAAGAAACAAATACCTGCCACCAAACCCGAGCCCATCCTTCCACCAGCCGCTAGCTTCAGGGACAACCGCTGCCCATTCCACATCTCCTCTGAACATCTTAAGAGCAGGTCCATATTCCCTGTGACCCATGCTGGTTCTGCTGCAGAAAGGCCAGTGCCAGAAGGGGATCCTAGAAGTGCATGGAACTGTCCGAGGGTCCCCGGTGGGGCCACTCCTCATCCACCCACCTGCGCAGGATCTTCTCCACGTCAGCCCTGTGGTAAAGTCGGCAGAGCTCCATCAGCTGGACCACAGTCCTCTGGCTGTTTCGGAACAAGAACTCCAGCGTGGGGCTCTGGGGCCTCTGTTCCAGGAAGCACAGTTCATCATAGGGCATGCCCCACTTGCTGGCAAAATTCCTCCAGTTCTTCACGGTCGGGTGGCACGGATCCAGCTTTATCCTGATCACATCCAGCAAGTCCTGATCATTGAGCAAGTCGCTGATGGTGGGGACCCGGGGTGAACAGGAGGGGCACGAGCAGCCTTCCTTGCATGGCCGGTTTCTGCTGACACCTGCAGGATGACAGAGAGGCCACAGCTTGGCCAGGGGCCTGGCAGACACGGGCGACGTTCCCTCTATTTCCCTACTGTCTTGGCGACATCATCGAAGTGTCACACAGCCTTCCCTGCTCCCACAGTGCTGTTCTTCTGTGTGCGTGCACGTGTGCACAGGTGTGCAGCATGGGTGTGTGGAGGCTAGAGAGCAACCTTGCGTGTCACACCCCACCCACGCCTTTAGCTCAGCATCTCTCACTGGCCTGGAATGGACAGAGTAGGCTAGGCGGGCTGGTTAGGAAGCCCCGGGGATCTACCTGAATCTGGACCCACTTTTCAGGTTACTGCTATGCATTGTCTCTGAGGCACCTGCCTTTTACTTTTAGATAGGCAACGGCAAGAACTTTGCCCACTGAGCCCGTTTTTGTTTGCTTGTTTTGTTTTTGAAGACAGTATCTGTCTCTGGCCTGGAGCTTATTAAATAGGGTAGGCTGGCCAGCAACCCCCAGGGATCTCTTCCTCCTTAGCACTGGAGTCATAGACATGGGCACCACAGCCACAGGGATGCTGGCAATACAGCTCAGGTCCCATTCTGCAAGGCAAGCACTTTGCTGACTGGGACATCTCAGCAGCCCCTACGGCATTACCCTTTACAGGAAAAGAAAGGCTGAAAGCAGGAGCAAGAGTTGATAAAGCCAACCTCGCTTCCCATCCATGCTCTCCCCATTCCAGCATACGCTTGGAGGGCCATTGACCAGATTAAGGCTTCCAGGACCAATTCATGCACACATCCTTCAGCTCACGACAACTTTTAAAATTACATTTATTGTTGTTGTTTGCTGTTGTGTGTGTGCACAGGTGCCTGCGCGCCACATCCCGTGAAGGTCACAGAACAAATTGCAGGACTCGGTTATCTCTTCCATCACGTGGGACCCGGGAATTGAACTCAGGTTGCTAGGCTTGACAGCAAGCACCGTTCCCTACTAAGCCGTTCCACTGGCCTCCCTGACAGCTTTTAACACCAAACCTAGCACATGAAGATGGTACATGTGATTGCGCACAGCCCCTCAAAAGTTCTTGAAAAGGAAGAAAACTGGTCCCCGCCTGCTCCCTGCACGTATCTGAAAACCCAAAGCATATCTGTCATGGCTACTGGCAGAAAGATTTCTTTGGGAATTTATAGCCTCCTTATCATTCCTTTGCTTTATCTGTCTTCTTTACTCACAGAGGCTCTGTCTGAAGTGTGGCCAGCAGCCCCCGGGGTGTGCGGGGAGCTGGAGGCAAGCCGAGGAGCACACCAGGCTCTAGCTTGGGCCTCACCCAAAAACCGGTTCCCACCCCAGCTTCAATCGTCTCAGCGTCATCTATCACCAGGAGGCAAAACCACGGGTGGGAGTGGAAGTTAGTGGGGAAGAGGTATCAGGAAGTCGCCCACTGAAGCCCTCGGTGGTGCCACTCTGCGGACACACGGCCACTGAAGTGGTCTCACTCTGCGGACACGGCCACAAGCAGTGTCAGCTGCACAATGATGTCTCCAAAGTCTGAATTGGGTTTAAAGGTCATAGGCTTGGAAAGTTGTGGGGGTGTGACCTTTACTATAAGATGACACATTGCTACACATGCTGTCACTGAGCAGTGGCTGTAGGAGAGTGAGGAATTTGAACAAGGGCGGGGTGAGGCAATGTCTCAGCTGGTAAGGTATTTGCCGTGTAAGCCTGAGTACTAGGTCAGCCAGGGCTACACAGCATGACTCTGTCTCAAATATAAACAAAACAGCAGCCTAGGGAGATGGCTCAGTGGTTAAAGCATTTGCCAAACAAGCACAAGGGCTTAAAGTCAGACGCCCCTAGCCTGACCCCCGACCCCCTGTAAATGCTGCGTGAGTGTGATATCCTCAAAGGGAGAGAAGGACTCACAGAGCAAGCGGCCTGGAAAGATTAGAGCTCGCCTCGGTGAATAAGGTGGAAAAGCAATACCGGAACCCATGTGAACTGATGCATGAGAACATTTCAAACTGCCTGTTAAAATCATCAGCTGCGTCAGGCATGGTGGCGCACGCCTTTAATCCCAGCACTTGGGAGGCCGAGGCAGGTGGATCTCTGGGAGTTCCAGGCCAGCCTGGTTTACGTGGCAAGTTCTAAGAGAGCCAGGACGACATAGAAAGACCCTGTCGAGGAAACTGAAAAGAAAAGCATAAACTTTAGGTGGTGGGAATATTTTCTAAGAGATATATTTAGTCCCCTCCCACACTCCAAATACTTCTCATAGCGCATACAGTATTCTATCTGGAAGGACAAACTTTGAGATGTCCTGAGGAAGGAAGAGAGAACAAAGAAATCGCTAGTGTTGGGGGACGACCGATACCTCTCAAGTGATAGATAGGCCCCGGGTATACAGCAGGCACTGAATAAATGACACTTACGGTAATGACAAGGAACTAGCCCTTACTCCAGTGACAAATTCTCTCTAGAAATTAAAAAGCAGGGGCTGGCAGGATGGCTCAGCACTTGAGTGTTTACAACCTCCTGTAACTCTGCCTCCACGGGAGCTCATGCCCTTCTCTGTCTCCTTGGGCCCTTACGTTCACGTGCACACAGCCCCACCCGCCACCACACACATATACATAATTAAATAAATAATATTTAAGAATAAATTAAATATGTATTTGCCCCAAGGGTGAATAACTGAGAATTCTGCTTCTCCAGGGAAGGAGGTGCAAGCATGCATGTCGCTTCCCCTGATGGCAATTCGGAAGTGGAAGGGAGAATTCAGTGAGGGAAGAGGAAGCCAGGAGTACATGTTGCTGGAAAACAGTACAGACTTGGTCTCTAAATAAAAAGATTGTGGGTCAATTCGAGATCTGGAAAGAGAGGAGATGATTGAGAAAATACTCATCCCTCACTTCGACGCTTTAACCACTCTCGTCCTACCGGTCACTTCTAGACAAGGGGGTGGGGACCAGCTCAGAGCGCAGAGCTTTGGGGGTATATATAGGGTTTGTGCAGCAGGCTTGAGTCTTGATTCAGTGCCTGGCACTGCATAAAACTGGTGTACGCCAGGCGGTGGTGGCGCACGCCTTTAATACCAGCACTTGGGAGGCAGAGGCAGGCGGATCTCTGTGAGTTCGAGGCCATCCTGGTCTACAAGAACTCTAGTTCCAGGACAGGCTCTAAAACTACAATGAAACCCTGTCTCGAAAAGCCAAAAATAAATAAATAAATAAATAAATAAATAAATAAATAAATAAATCTGGTGCACACATGTCGACTTCAGTACTCAGGAGGTGGAGGTAGGAGAATTGGAAATTCAGGGGCATTTTCAGGTGCATAGCTAGCTTAAGACCAGCTTGGACCACAGGAACATAGAAAGAAAAAAAAAAGTGAGAGAACATTGCTAGGGAGAGGTGAGGGCGTTGCTAGGGATAAGGTGAGAGAGCGTTGCTAGGGAGAGGTGAGAGCGTTGCTAGGGAGAAAGCCCCTGTGGCCAGGTAGATGGCCTGTTGCACAGGTGTGTGCTAAGCCCTGGTCCCACTCTGTGAACACAGGTAATGACGGTGGTCTCAAAAGTGGCTTCAAGGATTAGGATTAAAGACATCATCCATCCAAGCCTCCTCCTAACACACAGCATGGCCCAGTGGAGAGCTGTGGGGGGGGGGGGGAGGACAGTGGCGCTTGAGCTTCACTTGGGATGGAACCCACTGATCCCCTCTAACCCCTGCGGGAAATCCTCCTCACATCTGGGCCAGCCACCAAGGTTCTATTTTAATTAGTGTGGCACGGCAGCAGGGCACGGGAGTGTCCCAGCTCCCACAGAGACTGCAGATGCACAGCTGGGATGGAAGCCACAGTCTCGAGGAGGGACTACAGGTCAGTGGCTGTCAGCACAAGAAGTGTGCAGGGTCTACAGACGAAGGGGGCCATATCAGAGAAAACCTCTCTGAACATTTTCAGGAGTACTCGGGATATAGCTTAGAGGGAGGGCACTTACCTAACATGTGAGGGTCCTGGGTTCCATCCCCCGGACTGCATTGGGGTGGTGGGGGGCCTTGGATGAAGACGCACCTTGCTATGTAATTGGTTGTACCAAGGTAGGCTGGAAAGTCACTCTATTCTGCATGCGGGTTGTAAGCAGTTCTGATAGGTTTTCCCTCCCACAATCCCTTGCCCTCTTCTGCATAACTTGGGCCTTTCAGATGGGATTCTATAGAAGTGACTGAGAATTCGCCATCAAAACACGTTCAATAGGTGAGTCCCTCAGGTACTCAAAGGGACTGGGACATGTTCATGAAAGATAGTGTTCCCAGTACATGTACTGACACCAGGCTCCACGGAGGTGTTTGGGTCCCAGGAATAAAAAAAATGTCCCCTACTCTACCCAGAAAATATGACAAGGATGGAGAGTCACTAAGCAAGATCTATGCTTTGGTTACCAAAGCACATGCTATTGTTTAAAAACAAAGTACAGTTGGGGGCTGGAGAGACAACTCATTCAGTAAGGTACAGTTTGGGCTGGAGAGATAGATCATTCAGTAAGGTACAGTTTGGGCTGGAGAGATAGATCATTCAGTAAGGTATGGTTGGAACTGGAAAGATAGCTCATTCAGCAAAGAGCTTGCTATGCAAGTCCAAGCATCCGAGTTTGGTCCTCAGAACCTACATAAAGAAGCCAGGGGTAGTAACATACATCTGTGGTCCCCGTGTTAGGAAGGTGGAGGGAGGAATCCCTGGCCAGCTAGCTCAGTCTTATCAGAGCCTGAGAGGGCCTGGTGAAGTTTGTCTCAAAAACTGAGGTACACACACACACACACACACACACACACACACACACACACAAATACACACAAGCATGTTCATACGCATGCACACACACATGCATGCGCACATGCACACAATTATAATCAACATGGATGAATGCTAACTGCTGATTGTCAGATAGTTATAAAGCCACACACATAACACAAGTCAATGATACCCATATTCACTGCATAACTTTCATGACTCTGCCCAGCTACTCCCGATGCCCAGGAACCTTAGGCCATCCTTTACCTGAAAGGGGATCTCCAGTGCTGTCTGGAAAGTCATTTTCTTCTTCCTAAAACAAAAATCAACCTTCATTAAAATCATGGCCGCAAAAAAATGGCAATGTCAACCTTCCTTGTTAGTTAAATTTCTACCAACTAAGTATGAGGGTCTCACTGATGCTCAGAGATGGTCCTTCAGTGATGGTGAGCTGTAAGAATCAATCCAAAATGTGGAATAAGCCCAGGATGCAACTGCTCCAGGAGACACTGGACAAAGGTGAAGCAGGCCAGGGTCCTATCTCAAATGTCTGAAGGCACATAACCATGGGAGCATGTAACTAAGGCTCCTATTTTATTTTTATCCTTATTATATGCTGTTTTCTTTGTTTTGTGTAAGCAGAAGTTTTTGTTCTGCCCAGTTCCACAGTCGTTCAGTCCCAAAGAAACACACAGAGGCCTACATTAATTATAAACTGGTTGGCCTATTAGCTCAGGCTTATTTATAACTAGCTCTTACAACCTAAATTAACCCATAATTCTTATCTATGTTTAGCCACATGGCTTGGTACCTTTTATCAGTGCAGACTTTTCATCTTGCTTCCTCTGCATCTAGCTGGTGACTTTGTCTCTGTCTTTGCTCTTCCCAGAATTCTCCTAGTCTGGTCGCCCTGCCTATACTTCATGCCTGGCTACTGGCCAATCAGTGTTTTATTAAACCAATACAAGTGACAAATCTTTACAGGGTACAAGAGCATTATCTCACAGCAGTTTTGTTTTCATTCTATCTTGGATAAGACCTGCCAGCCTAGGCTAAAATGTGTGTGTATGTGTGTGTGTGTGTGTGTGTGAGAGAGAGAGAGAGAGAGAGAGAGAGAGAGAGAGAGAGGTGTGTTTGCACATGCTTATGGAAACCAGGGTTTGATGTTGGTGTCTCCTACCATCCTTCTATATTTTTCTTTCTTTTTTTAGATTTATTTATTTATTATGTATACAGTAGTCTGCCCACATGTATGCCTTGCAGGTCAGAAGAGGACGCCAAATCTTGTTACAGATGGCTGTGGGCCACCATGTGGTTGCTGGACAGTGTCTCTTACCTTTAACTAGACTGGCTTGTCAGCGAACTCCAGGAGTCTGCCTGTCTCTATACTCTGCCCCAGTCAGGGTCAAGGTTACAGAGGTATCATCCACACCCACCTTTCATGCGAGTGTAGGGATCTGAACTCAGGTTCAGTGCTTGCTCAGCAGGCACTTGACCCGAGGAAGGATCCATTTCCCCAGCACACACTCCAGACCACAATTCTTTGCCTTCCCTATGGATTTTTTAAAGTTCATTTTTATGTGTATTTTGTGTGCATGTATGTCTGTGCACCACATGTGGGCCTGGTGCCTGCAGAGGCTGGAAAAGGGCAAGGAATCCCATGGAAATGGTGTGACAGGTGGTTATAAACCACCATGTGGGTGCAGAGAAGTAAACCCCAGTCCTCTGCAAGTGCGGCCAGCACTCAACCATCTCCCAAGCCTTTCTATGAATGTCTTTTAAGTTTTATTGCAAAGCAGCTAAAACCAAATATGAAAAAGTAATGGCAAGCCCTGGACGAGTAGACAGTGCCCTGCCTGTACGACTGGGATTCTGTGTCTACTGCCAGGGTCATGTTGTCTTAGGATGACAATGGCCTTCAGTACGGTGTCCTTCGAGCAAGGGACTTTGTTGCTCCAGGCAGACATCACCTGCCATGACCTCCCATGTACATGAAGGTGGCTTTTAATTACCAGGTGTCTGAATTTTGTTTGTAAAGAAGTGCTAACTTGGCCGGACACAGTGCACATACCTGTAATCCTAGCACTCAGGAGGCAGAGGCAGGAGGATTACAAACTCAAGACTAAGGTGGGGTTTAAACAACACACTGTCTTAGAACAACGGCAGGGTCACTGTTTAGTATATTTTAAGCATTTGCTGTTTTGATTAATCCTCTAAGAAGCCTTTTTCCTTGCCTGAACTCACGAATCCCAGCCCTCTGCAGTGTACATATGTCTGTTAATCCCAAGACTAGCTTTCCACCCACTGCAGGGACATTCCTATTCCCACTAGCTAGACCTTCCCCTGGGAACTGAGACAATATTTGCTTTGGTTTTTCTGCGTTCTTGCCTTCCCTGACGCTCCAGGACAACAAAGCCAGCATGCTTGGGAGCCATGGGATTTCTGCAGTGCTTTTTTTCTCTTTTCTCTTTGTGTGTGTGTGTGCATGTGTAAGAACTGGAGGAAGCCCCTGGAGGGGCCTGAATACCTCAGCACAGCCTTACACAGTAATAAGGTGAAGCCCTGGGAGCCCCATCCCCACAAGACTACACTCACTGCCCTGAAGGCCGTGTGGAGACCTGCCCTTTCCTATCTGCAGAGTTTCCACAGGCCCGGGCAGGCCTGCTCACTCTTATATCAACACAGTCAGCTCTGCTCACTGAATCGGAAGTGTGGGCTACAAAGGACAGAATAGAAACTGCAAGTCATAGAGAGAGACGGGAATGTTAAAGGTTTGTAGATGTTGTGGTATAGAGGTCCCTGATAAAACACAGTGTTTCCCAGAAGTCAAAACTGCGTGGCCTGGCTCATTCTATTTGAGTTCTCCTCATCTAGAGAATAACAGGCCAATACCAGCTGGTCACATTCACCCTCAGGATGTGGCCAGGGAGCACAACTCAGAATTATTGTGCAATGGTTGAAGACAGAGGAGTGTCCAGGGTGGCCAGGTATAGTAGCCCACGCCCCTAGTCCTACCACTGTGAGAACTTCCAGGCCATCCCAGGCTACATAGCAAGATTTTGCCTCCAAGAATAAAATGAAACAAAAGATAAGCCAGGGCCTTCGTTTCCAGGCCTGGGAACTGCGCTGCTTCCAGGTGAAACTCCCAGCAGTGGAACCAGAACAGACTCGCTTTGTACCTTATCTATTTCTTTTGGTCTTGTTGAAACAACGCTCCTGCCTTTATTCCTCGTGTGTTTACTGAGCTGTTCATGTGTCGAAGCTGCATGCAGGAACCCATATCCACAGGACCCTAGCCCTTGACCTGAGGTACAGGAGGAAGAATCACAGGCCTAACCGAAAGGCCAGGCTGAGGATGGCGAGCACTCAAGGAGATGTGACCGAGTCCCCCAGGAAGAGGTCTCCACAGACTGAAAATGCCAGAGGGGGCTGGGGTTGTAGCTCAGTGAGGGAGTGCTTGCCTGGTTTGTGCAGGCCCCAGGTTCAAGCCCCAGCGTCACAGAAAAGTTAAATAAAACCAAAACTGGGTGTGGTGGTTCACTCTGTCATCCCAGCACTTGGGAAGCTGAGACAGGAGGATCTGCTGATTGTAGACACTAGTCCGAGCTACAGTGAGAACTTAAAACACACAAACACAAATCAGGTGTGGTGGTGCGTACCTCTATGACCCCAGCTCTTGGGAGGTAAAGGCAGGAGGATCAGGAGTTCAAAACCAGCACCTGAGAGGTGACTGCTGGAGGAGCAGAAGTTCAAGGCCAGCCTGGGCTACACGAGACCCTGTCTCTGAAAAAACAAACCAAACAACAAAAACACAAATAATACCACAACAAAACTATGAATAATAAAATAAATCAGAGGTCATTTCCCAGATACAAAGATGGCTGAGACTGGTCCTGCTGAAGGTCTGTCACAGTGGACAGTTGCAGAATGGGGCATTTGCTTAGAGCCTTTAGAAGTTGACAGGGACACAGGAAAGCAAGGAATGAGATGAGGAGCAAGAAAGCAGGAAGAAGGGAATGGCTGATGTTCTTGTAAGTGCTGGACTTTATCTACAGACAGTAGGGCTCACCGTGGGCTCTCACTGGAAGAAGGACATGTCCACCCAAAACACTGTGAAATTAGCAGCAGAGATACCTGACTGGCTGTAGGCACAGGACTCATGGAAAGCAGGGCTGAGTCCGGGATACAGACTCTCTCTCTGGGAGGGAGGAGGAAGCAAGAAGACTAGAGGTGAAGAAGTCACTCAGAGATGGCAAGGTACGGGGAGAGAAGGCAGAGCAGGCTCTGGAGAGGTTACAGACAAGGAAGAGGTCAGGTCTGCATGCGATAGGCCCTAGAAGCTCTGAAAGAGACCGCAGCAAGTGATGGAACCAGGGATGCTGAGCAGACTCTGGGAGGAGAGGTGAGAAGCAGAGAGCAAGCTGGGAGCAAGTCCAAACCTCCAGCAGTCCCCAGATCCCACACAGTGATGGCAGTGGGAGGAAAGCAGAGTCAGGGTCGGAGAGAAGGGCAGGGACCCTCAGGAGTGCTGGGGAGGGCAGCCAGGTCTGGGGGCCGAGTGAGGCCACAAGCCGTGGGAATGAAAACATCTCTCTGGTGGGCAGTACTGCCACGGATGTGGCTGGAAAACACGGCCGCATCTGTCTGGAATGCTCCAAGGTACCTATCTCTGTCAGGTTCCCATCCTGCCCCCATCAGGCCTCAGCTGACACATCACTTCCTCTCCAAATGCCCCATGTGGGTTCTGTGACCTGGGTCCTCCCACAGTATCCTGTACCATCACCCACAGCGCCGGTGGCATTGGGTTTGGAGTTTGTCTTCAGCCCTAGGCTGCATGCCGCATGGCAAGGACATGGTGTGTGTTGTACAGTGGGGGATCACTGGGCTCTGGAGCACCAAATGTCTGTGGAGGGAGGGGGAAAAAAAGGAAGGAGGTCACAGAATGCAGCCCACGTCTTCAAGCCCATCCCACAAGTTGCCCTTCAACACGAGTCTTCTTACATCTCCTCCATCCCCATCTGCTCTGTGGCTCCCTTCTCACCTCCATTCCTATCCACTTAGTTATTGCCCGAGCGCTATATTTTCTCTTGTGACAACTTGGAAGTGACCCTCAAGATCAGGCCTATTGATCTTCCCCATAGCAGGAGGCAATGGGAAGGTCCTTAGACTCTCACCTAAGACCCAGCCACTGGAGGGGAGGAGATGGAAATTTTTAAGTAAAAATAAATTTAAAAAAATGTGAAAAAAGAAAAAAAGACATATAAGCAATCAGAAAACTAAAGATTATCAATTAAGTTATAGCTCCAATCCCAA